CTTATCCCTGGGCTGGCACAACGCCCCACACACACCCTGAGCCCTGGATCAGGACTTTGGGAAAACCTTAAGCTGATGTAGGCTCCTGAAGTCCATCACCAACCCTGATGAAGAGCCTGTCATAGATTCAGATCTGAATGATACTTGAGCACTGCTGGCTTCATTAAGCTCCAGAATCCATTTTTTCAGAAAGAGTTAGAAAGACTCACCCTACATGGAAAGAGAAGGTGACGTGGTCCTTTTTCCCTGTCCAGCAGCCCCTTCCCCAAACTGACCTTCACTGTGCCTTAGGCTGTACCTCCTGCCCAGAGAGGGGAGCTTCTGTGACTGGGCCCCTTCTCACTCCCCATCACGGGGACTCACTTCTAGAACCAGGGATCCAGAGGCCTAGCCACAGCCTCTTGACTGACCTGGAGGACTGGGCCAGGCAGTGCTCCAGGATGGGCAAAGGCCCTTATAGACCTAGAACCTGATACCAGCCCAGGAAGGGGAGGAGAAAAGGCCCAGCCCCTGCCCAGAGGAGATGGCTGACAAGGAAGTCAATTTCCTGGTGGCTTGTCAGGCTCCAGAGTCCCCCAGGGTGTGACCCATCTGGCCTCTGGCCGCTGGCCCCTGCCCCTCTGAAAACAGACAACCCTTAGCCCCAGCTGAAGAGGCCTGCTGGTGTTCTTCAACATCTCACTTGTAAAGGACCCAAAAGAGAAAGGGACGGGCACCCCCTACCCCAGGAGACCCCACCTAGGTTGGGCTCCATGTGAGTCTGGGCTCTTCTCAGCAGGAGCCTCTTCCTTTGAGGCCCAGGGGGCTCTGGGGTGAACACATCCCACCCCAGCACTGGGTGGAGCTGGAAGGGTTTGCCCCCCTTCCCACATCAGGGAAGTGGGACCCTGTAGCTTTGGAGCTGCCCTGGCTCCAGGAAGGCGGTGGTGATGGGAGTGGGAGGTTCTCAGCCTGGAGAGGTGCCTCCCTCCTTCCCGTTCCAGGTCTGGTTGGACAGGTTGAGGCTGACACACCTGAGAGAACCCGGAACGCCAGAGAGCCCGGAGCTGGGCTGGAATGCGGGCCTCCCTGGAAGGGTGTGTCCATGTTCCAGGGTGGTGAGAGGGAGGGCCCTTCCTGTACAGCAGGCTCCTCCCAGCAGCCCTGGTGTCCCCAAAGGCAGGCTCCAGGGACCAGAAGGCTCCTGCAGCTTCCAGCTGATTCCTGGCTTCCCAGCTGGAAAGGCTGTTACAGAATCCCAGGAATGTGCCTTGAGCTCAGAGAGAAAATTCCCAAAATAACTTCTATAAATACTTGAGGGCAGGGGTGGGGAGGGAGGGCTCAGCCTGGCCCACAGCTGGCCTAGCGCCAAGGCTGCTTCCCAGGGCAGGCCCCCCTCAAAAGAAGAAGAGGCATGCGCACCCCTAGACCTCTGTACTGCTCCGCCCTTGGAGGGCATCATCAGGCACTGAACTTACGGGGTGGGATGGTGTGCAGTGGATTCTGAAAAGGCAAGGCCCTTTCCCTCATCCACTCCCAGGCCACAGCCCCTGGCCACACACTGCCTCTGCAAAGGACCTGGGTCCCACAGGGAGGCTCCCCGCTGAGTGTGAGCCCAGACCAGCGAGACCCTGGGCCCCTTAGGTTCTGCGCCTTCGTGGCCGTAAGAGGCAAGGCTTGCCAAGCTCCACGTGGGCAGCATCCCTGGTCGGAGGCCCACATCTGTAAGTGTGGGGTGCCTCTGGGTTCCCTGGCTCTGTGTTTGGGCTACATCCTGAGCTCTGAGCCCTGTTGAGCTGCTGTCCTTTGGGGAATAACAAAGCAGGCAGGAGGCTGGGGCTCTATCCCTCTCAGCCTCGGGAGGGGCAGGACAGGGATCGCATCCATGAGCTCCACAGTAACTAAGCATGACGTGGAGGCGGTTGTGTGGTCAGGAGGAACTCCGTCCTCAGGGAAGGCTTCCTGGGAGAGCAGGGTCTCGAGCACTTGAGATGTGGCCACACATCCCCACTCCCTGAGATCAGGAAGGGAGAGAAGGAGGAGGGTCCTGAGGTGGGAATTTCTGGGGACTTCCCCCAGAGCCCTGCACCTCCCTGGAACCATGTTTGTGGCTATAACCAGCCCAAAGCGCCCCCTTGGAGTTATGGTGTCTGATCACCATAAACAACTTTCAAATCCCTGTGGGCTGCCAGCACAGCTGTGGCATCTCCCAAGGGAAGGTCAAAACTGGGAGCCTCTCAGCAGATCTGATCTCCTCTCTCAGCGTGGGGCACCCCCTCACCAGGATGGGGGATGGGGGATTCACTTGGGACATTTGGATGCAATTGAGATGCCAGTTCTTGTTGCCACCATCTCTCTGGAGGCCTGTTCTCTGGGAGGGTCGGGGTGCCAGGAGGATTGTCTGCAGGCCCTAGATGCAGCGCTGGGCTCAGGGCAGAGTCGGTGAGACCTCGCATCTTCCTGGGGCTGTCTTGCCCAGTTGTCAGGCAGCAAACAGCGCTGAGTTGCTACCAAACATGAACTGGGCTGGTGTCAGGGGCAGGTGGCAGAAGATCCTGTTACAGGCCCTGGGCCTCTGGGCCCCAGCCTGACCCCAGCCCGGTGTCTCCTTTCAGGCTCTAAGGTCAACACCCCAGGGTGGGGGGACATGAGCCAACCCACCCTAGCCTACAGTCCTCCCCCACAGAGAGCCATGCCCTCTCCCAGCTTCTAGAGAGATCAGCCATCCACCTGCTCCCCGCCCAGAAGGACCCTCTGCTCATCTTGGAGGTGCTGCTGTTTGCTGTCTGCCCCTGCGGTGATTTTTCCAATTCATCATTGCAGACTCCTCACAAGAGCCCCACGAGGAGGGACAGTTCATTGCTTGGTTTACAGATGAGGAAACCACAACTCAGAGAAAGCTGGCCATTTGTCCACGGTCACAGCGCTTGTCAGTGGCAGAGCTGGGATTCCAACCTGGCCAGGGCTTCCGGCCACCAAGCCCTGGGCTTTAAACTCTCTACAGACACACAGAGGAAGTTACTGCAAACCTCCCAAACTGAGAATAAAATACACATACACACACACACCAGCCTGCAGACACATCTGGCCCCTTCCCAGACACCCACATACTTCTTGATATCAGGGGTTTTCAAACTTGTTTTTAGCAGTTGAGCCCTTTTTTCAAACAAAATCCCATGTGGAAGCTTAATACAGAAAACTTAACGTGTGGAAGCCACTCCGGGCCTGCCCCTCCCTGAGAGGCCTTGCCGGCCTTTCCCTTCTGTCCTGTGTTGCTCCCTCCTGGGCAGAACTCACAGGGCTCAAACCCTTCATTTTTGGTGCTCAATTTTGGTGTCTGGCAGCCGTCGGCTGGCCTTCCTTCCCTCCTCCCTGTGGGCTCTGTTCCATTGTGAGCTGCTGGGGTCTGGCCCTTGGGCCGTGTGGGCAGAACAGCTAGGCCTCGTGCCCTGCTGGCCAGCCTGGCCACTACCCTTGGTCCCAGGCAGCCCTGAGTCAGCACCACTCCCATCTGGCGAGAGCGGAAGACCCTGCCTGAGGCTCCACCCCGCCCGCAGCCACCCTGTCCTCCCCTGGCCTCTGCACGCCTCATCCATGTGTGTGGTTCCTTGGTACAGCGTTGCCCGGGGCTAACAGAGGCTCTGTGAGGACAGCCTCTTCCTCCCCCGCCCCCTGGCCACAAGATCTCCAGCCAGCACCTATGGAGAGGGAGAGGCTTTTCCTAGGGCTTCCTGAGCGCCATCTTTCACTCCCGCCGAATTGGTTGTGTTCCAAGCTCTCTGAGGACTTGATGAAACCAGGCATGCGCATCTTCCCCAGCACGTCTCCATAGCAACAGAGGGCCTAACTCTGGGGAGCTCGCTGAGGAGGAAAATGTTCCAGCTAAAAATGTACATGGCCATCAGTGGGCGGGCACTGGAGAGGGGGCTCCAGGCACATAGAACGCAGCTCCCCACCCCCACTGCGGCCCCCGCCTGTCCAGGAAGTCAGTGGTGGGTTTTACCTCCCGTCTTTTAACAAGAGAAGGGTCCCCCTGAGGGACCATCTCATGCCACCCTCAGGGCTGAAACAGGGATCAGTGGGACGGCGCAGAGCAGCCTTTCTGCTGAAAGGGGGCCCTGCCCCTCTGCCTCCGCTCACTACCCTGTCCTCGCTACCCACTTCCCAGCGTGGGTAAAAGAGGATGTAGAGGGGACAGGGTGCCAGTTTCACTTCCCAGCCTCTTATGACGATTCCTGTTAGTTCCTCTATCTCTTTGGTAACAGGGTTGTTTGAGCCAAACAGCAGGGCCAAGCTTCCCTGCGCCTGACCCAGACCCCCAGGGCCTTTCATCTTTCAGCCAATCCAGCCTGTTCACCCAGCGCCCCATTCACCCAGCACCCTGTCCCCTGCCATCTGACTCTCCTCCTGTGACCCTTTCCTGAGGAGCCACCGCACACGCACATATGCTTGAGCTTTTCCTCCCCGGTGACAGTGATGAAGCCTCGTAATGCATCCTCCTCAGTCTTTCTGCATCCCTGGGGTGAAGGGCAGCTCCGGGCCGCAGGAAGGACTGAGAGGCATGGTCCCACTGAGTGAGAACACACTCCTGCCAGACACTTCTCAGAGCTTTACACCTCCTGACTCCTTTCAGCCTCACCCCGCCCTCCAGAGAGATGCTGTGATTTTCCCATTTACAGATGAGGAAACTGAGGGCCAGAGAGCTGGGATTTGCCCAGGATCCCCCAAACAAGGTGACACAGCCAGGTCTGGTGACTTGAAAGCCAATTCCTCGGGACCGGCAGGAACAGAGCTCCTGCAGTGGGTTTCCCAGGAGGCTGGGGTTAAAGCACGGGTTGGGCAGGGACAGGTAGGATTTACATGGGGAAAGGCACAGTCACTTGACAGTGCCCAAGCCAGAGACGCAGGAGCCTCTCGAGCTGATGGCTGCTGCCACCCGTGCACCTGTACTTGGCCCAGTTGCCAAGATGCCTGTGCCATGCCAAGACCCCTACTCACCCTGCCCTGTGCTTGGTCCACAGGGTCTGATGCTGAGTCGGCTTGGCCACAAGAGCCTGGCCCAGAAGGTGCTTCGAGATGCCGTGGAGAGGCAGAGCACGTGCCACGAGGCGTGGCAGGGCCTGGGCGAGGTGCTGCAGGCCCAGGGCCAGAACGAGGCCGCCGTCGACTGCTTCCTCACTGCCCTGGAGCTGGAGGCCAGCAGCCCTGTGCTGCCCTTCTCCATCATCCCCAGAGAGCTGTGACGACACTGCAGCCACAGGGAGGGAGGGCCGGCCAGAGGGAGAGGCAGCGGTCAGTGTGGGGCGACAGTGGCATCAGGTGTGGGGCCTCAGGGAAATCCATCTTTAGTGAACGCCTCCGCAGCTGCAGCCCTCGTTCTCCTGGCTCGGCCAAGAGGGTCTTCCTGGATTTCTTTGTTGGTGCCTTGGGAAACAGTCTGACTTGAACCCTAAGTGCCTTTTTGCAGAGTTTTGTGGTGACCAGACTTGCACCCCAAGAGCTGGGCAGGGGGGAGCCTCACAATTGTCCTTCACCCTCACCCATGCCTCTGGTTGGGGGTCTGGGGATCTCACTCCCCACTCTCAGCACAGCACAGACTTCTGGATCCCTCTCAGGTCTTGCCCAGGGCAGTCACGACGTGAAGAAACTGGGCAAGTGGGAAGACGATGGGATTTCTGGGTTCCCTTCCCAGACTTGGAGTTAGCAGATGATGCCCACGTTGCCCCTCTTTGCCCCCTGAGGCCAGCTGGGCCCCACTGTGCTCTTTCCCTCTGCTACCAAGTGCCTTTGGGGCCTCTGGGGTCTAGCCAGGGGGTACTGAGCACTGGCCCTTACGCTTCCATTTCCACCCGCCCCATCTCCCTGGAAATGTGTTCCAGCCCAAGCAGCCTCCGTCGGCTTTAGATCCTGTGGTTGCTAGATCCAGTCCTTTCTAATACCCTGAGTCAACACATTACTCCTGCAGGTCTTACGCTACAATGCAGGTCCCTTGAGGGCCAATAACATGGAGGTGGGCAATTTCTAGGACTGTCCCCAGTACATCTCACCACCCACAGCCCTTTTTTGCCTTGATTTGAGCCTCACCCTAGCCTTTTGGGTTGCCCTGCCTGAGGCAGACCTGAGGAGGGGACAGAGCCCAGCCTTTCTCCTGTGGCTGAGCAGGCCTCTGTGTCCATGACACCTTTTTCCGGGCCTGGGGGCTGTGGGTGTATGTCCTCCCTGCTGGCTCCCCTGGCCCCTGCTGCGTGACGCTCTTGGAACTCTTCCCCAAGGACTCAGTCCCCCAGGCTTATCAGGGAATCCTTTTGTATCTGCACTTTGGGTTTTAGTTTCAAAGCTCCATCAGGTGCAGCTTACATTTCAGGATGTGTAGAAAGCTCAGGTGAGGGCTGCCCTGGTTTGTCATAGCTCCACCTTCCTCGGAGGGAGAGGGCTGTTGGAGACCCCCCATCCATGGCACACTAGCTCAGCACTGCATGTCCCGAGATGATTCCCAAGACAGCTGGTGCCTCCTGGCTTTCCTGCGGCAGGCCAAGGGGCACCCCAGAGGACGCTGGATCCTTCATGGTTGAAGGATCTCTATGTATGTGTGTATATAAATATAGTTTTTATATATATATATAAAAAATAGAGATCTATTTTTTTCTGGAATTATGTTAGAAAAGTAAAGAAAAAGCAAATGCTGTTGATTTATCTCAGGGTGCCCAAAGAGTTGTAGTCAATTTTTGGTACTAGGAAAGGCACCCAATGCATTTCCTGACTTAAGCAGTTCCTTGTTGGAAGCAGCAGAGGGCCAAGCCAAGTTGCTGACAGTGACTTTACAGGTTAAATAAAGAGACCCTCGGAGGGGAAGCAGGCTTGTCTGAAGCAGCATGTTTATTCACTGGGCATGTCGCTCCCGCACCAGCCTTGAGCCAGGCCCTGGAGAGGAGGGGCTGTTGCAGGAGGAGGGAGGCCAGAGAAGTCATCGAAGCCAAGACCTGGGCCCAGCTGAGGAGGGATGTGGGGAAGGAAGGACGAGAGGGAGGACCCTCTGGGAAAATGTGGGTTTGAGCTGGTGAGAATGTTGCCAGTTGAGGCTGGGCTAAAGCCTGGAGGGGGTAGGAGGAAGCAAGAGGGGTCCAGGCAGGGCTGATCCTGGCCTTTGACTTGTCCAGGGGGCCACCCTGGAAGCCCCTGCTGCCTCTGGGCATTGCTGGGAGAGGCCAAGGCAGTACTCGTATCTGAACAGAGAGCCCCTCAGGTATTGCTGATGGGCCACCTTCAGCTGCAGGGAAGAAGACTAGGAGAGGAGGCATGGGAGAGACCTGGGCCTTGTTCAGATTGGCCACCTCTGCTGAGAAGTCCATACCAGTACACCCCTAATAAGTTATGCCACATACCAATGTACTGTGGATGTTATAACCTGCATCAACATAATTCTAAACAATGCTGCTCATTTACACAGAAGCTCTGTTTCTTCATGTACTCCAGGGAACCACCATGGCACCCCCAAGGCTGCAGCCACCTCCTTTTGAAGACAGCTGTCCTGAAGCTTCCCCTTAAACCCAGGGCTGTTCTCGGCCATCTGGACTCCTCTCTTGCCACTCCTCCCTGTGGCCTGGCCTCCCCCAATGCCCACCCTCCACGCCACGCTCAGCCAGACATTGCTGTCCCCATAAGGAAGGGCTTTGCTTGCAGCCTTTGGGTGCCCAGCTTCTCTTGCTGTGGCCTTATTTTAAGGTAACACATTTACAGACTTGAGTGATTGAACACTTGGTATCAAATTACTTGTCATGTACCCTAACCCCCAGCTCATGGCCTCCTTGGGCGAGAAGTACAGGCCACCTTAGGTGGCAGGGGGTGTCTGCCAGCCTGGGGGAAGAGGCTTAGAAACTCATCCTGCAGGGAGGGGAATAGAGGGAATGTGGAAGGAGGGAAGGCTCTGCCATCCTTTTCTGATGGGAACAGGGTTTCCCAAGCTGACCTTAAATTGGTCGAATGTTGGAGAGTCACGCAGCGGTGGAGACCTGCTGAGGGCCGCAGGCACTGCCTTACCCCAGTTGCCCATCTGCAGACCCTGTGCTTGCACAGGAACCCTCACTGGAGAGAGAGGCACCTGGCTCCTGTGTCTAAACCCATCATGCTGGGACCAGGGTTAGAGTCTGGGGACAGACCTCAGACTGCCTGTCACCCCCTCGGACTTCCACCCACGTGCCACTTTCCAGGACACAGCTCCCACTTGTGTACTTTCATATTAATAGTGCTTCCTGCAGGCACAAATATGAATGGCATTTCAGCCGCCACCACCCAGACTCCTTTCTGGTACCAAAGTGCTCATTGTTGCATCCTATCCCCCACCCAGCACTCAGATGTCGTCACTGTGCAAATATTTCTTGGGCTTGGGAAGCCTCTGACTAAGCAAACCTCCCCATCCGCCTAGACTTTGATGATGACCCACGGGCAGGGAACCTCATGCCTAAGTGACCTGCGAAACCGACCCATGAGGTACTGATCCAAAGGGTCCTGAGAGGTCAGGGAGGTCCTGATTTGAAAAGATCACGCCATCCCCTGCCAGAAACTGAATTTTCATCAAGCTCTTTCAGTTGCAAAGAACAGAGACACCCTGAAGGTAACTCAAGAGACAAAAGGGAGCTCGCTGGAACCCTAGGGCAGGAACTGCAGTGCCCAGGCCTGGGGCCAAAGCAGCCACACACCGTGAAGGAGGCAGCAGGGTGACACTGCAGTCACCAGTCTGAGCTTCAAGGGGCAGCTCTACCACTACAAGCTGTGTGGCCTTCAGCAAGTTTCTTCATCTCTCTATAGCCGTTCCTTCATCTGTACAATAAGAATGGTGGAATAGTGCCTGCTCTGTGGATTACGATTAAGTGATCCTAGAATAGTGCCTGGCCCATAGTAATCAATACACGCGAGCAATTATCATCATCTCTGCCTTTGCCTGCTCCGCCCTCCTCTCCCCGCTACTGACAGTTCACGGAGAGGTGCTGCTCCCCTAGAACTATATTCAGCACTGCCCTGGCCCTCCAGCCCCACCCCTGACTGACCACCTGCAGCACTGTGACCACTCCCCTCCTAATGGCTGAATCTTGAACGAGAGGATCTAATTAGTCCCACTCATTTTTCCATGGGTCAGTAGGCAGCCCGTAGACTGATTTTCCCTGGATAGGCGCCTTCTCTTGATCCAATCGGCTATGACCAGGAGGCATGGGCCTCAGGACACATACAGCTGCTTTTGCAGCTGGAGTGCTAAGTGGGCAATGCCCTGGGCCCTTCCGGTCCCCTGTGTCAGCCCATCACGCCATGCCGTGTCCTTTCTGGGAACAGGTACAATGCAGGTCCCTCTAGAGAGGGCAGACAACAGAACACACCCGCTTAAACACCCTCCTTTCTCCTTTGCATCATCATCACCTGAGGGTCCATCCATGGAGGGGCTCCTGTCCTGGTTGTGGTCTTGGAATGAAGATGACAATGGGAATACTGACGTGCCTCCTGCACTGTACTGCTAATACGATGCTTCACTTATCAGTGAACTCTCTCCCAGTCACTCCTTTGATTGGGAACCTCTCCAATCAACAACCTTGGGAGGTGGGTTTTGTTCCCAAGAAAGGTGAAGAGATCACGGGGCCTCCACTCTCAGTGACTTGGCACAGGGCGGGGCCTGGGAGCGCAAGGCCTTGCCCTCGGAAGACACTGCGTAGTGCCGGCTCGCCCATTCTGGGCAGAGGCAGGAGCCTCCCCGAATCGCCGCAGCAGCAGGACCCTCTGGATCCATGGAAACTCGCATGACCAGGAGTCTTCTACAGGAGTGCCCAGGGGAGGAAGATACATGGGTCGAGGGGCCTCTTGGGTGCCCAGAACCCCCACTTGCCAGCCTCGCCCCACCACCAGCTTCGCCCCACTGGCTGCAGAGGAATGCCAGTGCTCTGTGATGCCTGCCACCCCAGCTCCTCTGCAGCAAGAGTAGAGGCCCCTTAAGCAGCGGTCACAAGAGGCTGGACATTGCCCCAGATAGAGTGTTCAGAAGATGCCCGAAAGCATGGGCAGCCACGGGAACTGCGTTGGGTCGTGGGACTCCACAATCCTGACCACTCACTGATGGCATCGTGGCTGGGTTCCAGAGCCAGTGTGTTCCCCATGGGCTGGCCCACAGCTCAGAGATGCCGACACACCAATGTAGTGGTCCCCAACACAGGTGGGGGCTGTCATTGTTCTCTTGTTCTTGTTCCCGCTCACCCTCAGTCTCTCACTCTCTTAACTGTCTCTGGAATTTGGCAAGAAGTCCTTGTGGACTTCTTTAAAAACATGTATCATTGTTTCTTGAACCATTTGATAACAGGTTGCATAAATGGTGCCCCGTTCCCCTTAATACTTAAGTATGTGTTTACCAAGAACAAAGGTCATCCCTGTATCTAACCACAGCGGAGTTAACAAATAGGACATTCAACACTGCCGCTGTGCTCTTATCTAATCCACCGCCCCATTTCAGGTTAGGCACTAGTTTTCCTTAGAGTATTCTTCTCCAGCCCAGGATCACACCCTCCACTTTACAGCCAGCTCCTTCGCTCCTCTAATCTGGAAGAGCTCCTCCTCTCCCTTTGCCTTTTGTGATGCTGGCATTGCTGAAGGCTGTAGCGGCCTGGCCTCTGCAGGTAGGCAGAGGGAAGCAGGAGGCGGGGCGGGGGTGGCCAGGGGGAGCAGAGGCTAGAAAGCAGCCGAAGCCAAGGGGCTGAGAGAATGGAGAACCGTTGATTGGTAGAAGCTGGAAGATAAAAGCAAAACTGAAGGGCAGGTGAATCTCTGTGCAGGCAGAGCTTTGGAAACAAAAGAAATGGCCACCTACTTGCAAGGCGCATGGAGATGATGGAAGCACTGGAGCTCCATTCCGTCCTGAATGAGCTTTCCAACACCTGCAGCCTAACTGCAGGCAAGAGTCCCACCTGCCTCCTGTCCTTACACCGTGGCCCCCATGAAGACTTGAGGGACCCTGAGTGTGTGTGTGTTCCTGGCAGCCCTGCACATCCCCAGAGAGAGGCTCACTCTGCTTCCCTGCACCATCAGACAAGCAGAAGCAGGACATGTTCCAGAACTTCACCCATTGCTTTTGTCTGTGGCACCCACGCCCACTCAGAGAGCACATGTGCCAAGCTGGGGATGGCGCAAGCATGGAAGACTTCCTGAAGAGCAGCAGCTCTGACCCCTGAGGTGGGGCCCATCCCCACATAAAGGTCAGGAGCACAGACGGTCTCCCCCAGGGTGCTCACAGCTGGGCAGTCTCCCGCCACCCTGACTGATCTCCCATTTCAGCCTGGGCCCAGAAGGAAGAGGCCACTGCAAGCTTCCTCTCTCCTGTCTGGGCCCGGCCTGAGCCATCTCAGGAGCCCTCAGCTCACTCCCCAGCCCCCACGCAAGGCCCAGGGCTCAGTGGCTATGGTGGTGGCATCCTGCCCAGCACACACTCTGCACCCCTGAGAACACCCACGCCAAGGGTATGGGGCCCTTACACAGCCTGGCCTGGTGCAATCTGGGCTGAGGCCACAGAGGCCCCTGTCCTGGGGAAAGTAGGGGAAGCTGGGTGCTCTCCCCCATGCAGAGAACTTTCTGAGCTGGGAGCCCCACCCTCCTAAGTGCTTGTCTTCTTTCCTTTCTCCTCTTCCTTCTTTTCTTTCCTTCTCTTTCTTTCTTTCTTTTTCTTTCTTTCTTTCTTTTCTTCCTTCCTTCCTTCTTTCTTTTCTTTCCTTCTTTTTTCTTTTCTCTATCTCTCTCTCTTTTTCTTTCTTTTTTTTTTTTTTTTTGAGACAGAGCCCAGGCTGGAGTGCAGTGGCGCGATCTCGGCTCACTGCAACCTCCACCTCCCAGGTTCAAGTGAT